CATTGTTTATTTTTTATAAAACAATATCCGGAACAACTTTATAGTTAATGAAATATAAATCAGTATAGATATTTGTATTTAGCATTTATATGCTATTTACATGAAAAAACCGAAACAATATATTAAAGATCGTGTGTTTCTTGCAACGTTTAAGCATGAAATAAAATCTAATACAAGTTAGAAGAGCAAACAAATATTCATTGGCATTGATTTTCTTTTCACAAAACATCTGGAATAATCTATTATAGATACTTAAAACTATTGCAATATTTCTGAATGAAAAATTAAAGGTTAAATCAGATTTACAATAGCCTCTAGTGTTATATGTTAATCTAATCGTGACGGACAGACCGACCAACAGACAAAACACACAAAAATAATCTTCTTTTATTCGGATGGGGGCACTAAACAAAAAATAAATAAAATCTTTTTTTTTTTTTTAAAGTTTAAGGAATTAGTTGAATAGTACCTCATGTTGCGACGTTACGCTACTGCACGAAAGTCGCTGCATAAAAAGTTCATTTTAAAAAATGTGCGTGATATTTACATACAAAGTGCATTATTAGCCTTAATAAACAAACATAAATGTTTTCTTTTAATTTTAGCAGCTAGTTGACCAGAACAAAACACTTTTAACTATTATTTATAATTGTTGTAAACATCCCCTGTACATTTCATAAATATATTTGACTTCGTGATACTGAAAATACACAAAAATGTTCATCTTTGTTAGCATATTTAAACATTGCCTCCCTTACATTTACCTAATTGTTTTAGAATTGGTGTATTTTTATGAAAAAATCGCTTACATAATTAATTTTATAAATTAAACGGTTTGCTTTTAGAAAACCAAAAGTAGCCGTTGCACCTAAACTTTTCAAACCGCATTTAATGATGAAATAATATTTTTCATATCTCTTCTAGTTTTTGAGATCTGAGTGTGACAGACGGACATTTAGCACAAACCTAATAGCGGCTTTTTCCCTTTAAAACAGCCTTACGGGGCCGCTAACAAAGGCTCATTTGTGATACATTTTGTTCAACATGCATGTTTGTTACTTTTGTTTTGTTACAGAACTATAATTCAAAGCTCTAAACAAAAAATTTCAGAAGTGGGAGTAGAAATTAAGTGGACTAATTAGACTCTACTCTATTCTTTTTTTTTTTGCATTTTTTTGGGGGGATGGGGCCAAGTGAGGGGGGCGATTGAACCTATTGCTCCCCGCCCCTAGATCCGCTAGTGGCCCTGCGGAGCACAGTTTGGGAAACACTAAAGAAATATGGTATTCTACTTTTTAAAAGATGATTACCCTTTCAGAAAGTTATAAAGGCGATAAATGCAACTTAAGAGACAAAGCAATATTAATAACGGGTGCTTATCAAACAATAAGGAGCTAATTGAGCTAGATTATCTCATTCACAAGAGATGCAAGCTCTACAAGCTGTACTTATGTGATTTAGATTCTTTATGACTACTTTCCTTGAAAGTGGGAATATTCCCTACTGTTTCTCTATACTAATGAAAAAACTACCATGGAATCCCCATATTGATTAAACTAATTTAAAAAATCAATCAAAGCATTAGGCTTTAAAGGAAATGTCTACCAATAAAATAAGAACATAAAAACCTTGGTTAGGCCAATAACAGAATATGCATTCTCTGTTTGGGACCCCTCAACTCAAGAAAACATTAAATTAACTGGAACAGACACAAAATAGAGCAGTGAGATTTCATAACAAACGAATATTCACTCTTGACTAGAGTAACACCTTTAGTAAAATCACTAAATTTAGAAAGCCTTAATGGATAGAAGACTTCAAAGTAAAGTAGCAACTATACATAAAACATTAAACCAAAATCTTCAAATAGAAATACAAAACCTAATAATATACTCAGAAAGATACAAAGAAAAAGGCACATTCCTTGTTCCATATGCTAGGACAAAATTGTACAAATGACCAATGTTAAGCCCCTTACAACCTTATAGACTTGTTTGAATGTGGTATTCAAAACTTATATATTTGTGTATGGTATTCAGGCAGTAAAAACTACAACTTAGCTTCATCCATCTACCACAGCTGTGTACCACTTAAAAACTATTATGAATGATTAATTACTGAACTTAATTACTTTTGAAGTGCTTTCAATTACCATACACATTTAATTAATATCCTAGTACCCGCCGAGCTAGGATATTAATAAGTAATATATATCGATTTTTTAAAATTGGGAAGCGATCATTTTATTCCATACAAGTGGGTGGGCTGATTACACGAGCTATTCATGTGTTACAATAATGGCTTACTACCAAATTATTCGTTCTAATAAGCAAATAATTCGATTATGATTCTTCTATTTACTATTTGATTAATAAAGCTGAAAGAACAAAAAAAAAAGAATTATGCTAATTTTTTGTTGTTTACGATAGAAACAAGATTACCAAGAAAGTTAGAGTTTTCAGACAAACTCAAATGCGGCCCTTAAATTGTCCAATAATTGGGCCCTCTGTTTTAGTAAGGAATACGCGGAGAATTCAGCTCCAGTCGCCTCAGGGTGGCGTGGAAACGTCTAGTAGTGGAACTAGATAGGCTAACTACGGGAGGGCCCCGTCCGGGCTACCTTTGGTGAGCTTTTTTTTATCTCACTTTGGGGATGGAACAAGTAACCCACCAGTCCAAAAAAATCCGTCACGCCGTTTCACAAAAGGGGCCGATATTAATGCCTCGTTTAGTATGATTGCGTTTTCTGCACGGAACAGTGGCGGTTACAGTATAGGAATATTAGATAAGTTTCCCATTGTTAGCGCTGCCTTCGGCCACTTTTAGCGAGTGGACTCAAGACCGAGGCACGACATGGTCCCATTACTCGATCCATGGCCAATTGTGGCTGTTGATTATTTGTAGATCTAATTAGTTTCTACGGGAATATAAGAAGCAATGATCTACAAATAATCAACAGCCACCATCTTACCTCCCTTTATCTGCAAAACAGACATGTGCTGGTTGGTATGTTCGGATTGTTTGCATATAATTTCTCGTATTAAGACTGGGTAGAGCGTATTAAACAAAGTGAGTCCTCTTGTTGTGGGTGGGTGGGGGAAGTCGAGCAGGATGTTCTATTCAAGGATGTCGTGAGTTGTCTAGTATGGGTTAAGTACCACTAAATAAAATGTATGTAGCCTCTGGTCTGGCTGACGTTTAGCAGAATTTTGATTAGCTAAAAATTACGCAAAATATTGTAACGACTCTGAGAAGCACAACGTTTTCAAAAGTGCTACGGTGCGCATCATAGTGTGCACTATCCTTTACAACACAAATATACAAATAATTAATCCAAAAGATAAGGCAGAGAAGAATTTCAAGAGAGAGGGTAGAAAATAATTTATAGAAAGAAGACAAAGAAGAATTCCAATAGAGAAGACAGAGAAGTAGTTAAATAGAGAAATTAGAGATGAATTCCAAGAAAGAAGACAGAATAATTCCAAGAGAGAAGGAAGACAAGAATTTTAAGAGAGAAGGCAGAGAAGAAATCCATAAGATAAGACAGTGTGACGGAGGAAGACTATTGTGTGTGTTGATTATCATCTCATCCTAGTTATTTTCAAATAAACATCCAACTCCTTTCTGATTTCCTATCATTTAGTGTTGCTTGTCAAAACCTGCCTTGTTATGTAACAATAATAGTTCATTGGTAAAAATTGCCTTGCCGTGGGGATCGCGAGTCTACACCTAAGGGAAGATGGCTAGACGTCTTGACTGTGATAATTAAAGCCTCAGAGAATAGGTCAGAGGGACAGGCCTCTTTTCTTTCCATCTATCTTTCAACCCCTTCATACGTTGTCCCGAGACCTGATTCCCAATGAGATCAAAGTCGTTAAGCTTGTAGGGTTACTTAATCCGAGACCTGTAAAATAAGGCACTGTATGTTTGTAGAAATCACGTAAAATGTTTTGAAAATGTTTTTTTTTTACATGTTTTGGATGTTAATTCAGAGTTGAAGATAATCTACTTCCTAGTCCAAACCAGCCGCATGACAACGGGGGGTGGTAGCGGACAGGCTATGAACCCGAGACCATCGAGACGACAGAACGACAGCCCAGTGCACATACCACACGACCAGGTCTAATAAATGGTGACAATTTAAAATAAGAGAGAAGACCTTTCTGGGTCGTTTTTTTTTTAAAGACGGACCACCTCGCTTTAGGATCCTGTAAAGAGTTTTATCCCTAATGTATACACTGCATGAAATATATTGACAGTACCCAACACATTCACCTTAAGTAGCATAAGAGCAGAGTATTACATGACCGTATAGGTTTCGATGTAGGGCTTAGCTATGAGATAGGTGGGGTAGTTGCGACTGAGGGTTTATTCCTTCGAACATTGGGAGACTGACTCATCCTGGCATTGCCAACTTCCAGGATCGTACTAAAAGTGACGCATTCCGACTCCCGTAGCGTAAGGGGGGGGGGGGGGGATAAGAATTTTGCGCTAACTACCCTTCAATGGAAGCATTCTGATGTGCCTCAATTATAAGCTCTGTGAGATATTTGTTAGCAGAGACTTCGAGTTCAGCCTGTTGTTATTAAGTAACAAATGATAATAGATAGTCAACTTTATAAACTCAGTTTCAATAGAATCCACAATTTAATAAAAACAAATCTTATCTTATCTTATATAATACAGACGTTACTTCAAAAAAGAAGATGATTACGTACTACGTAAATTAATTGATTTATCTGGTTAATAAAAGAAAGAGCAATGTCTACATTGTAAGCCCATTTCGATTGATGTATGTGGTCTTGTGCTATTTTCCTCTGTATCTGGGTAGATTTCTGACAACTGAAAGAGAGGGGAAGAGGGCCGGAAGTGGAAAGTTAGCATTGAAAGAAGGAAATGTTCGTTGAGACAAGTAAGGAGATAACCTGCTTGTGTCCACAAGTGATCTGATATTTGCTATAAACACTAGTACGAATCGGGACAAAATAACGAAAATTGTCTTTCTGAAATACAATGTTTATTCACAATGAGATGACCTGACAGCGAGATTTAAAACATAGAATTCATACATTCAATATAAAACGATGTAAATAAATAACACCAAATAAAGTTTTGGCTGCCGAACTTCCACTAAGACTTCTCGTTCTCATCGTCTCTGGTAAACGATTTAAAAAATCTTTCAATCAATTCAATTACTTTCAAGACGTCACCGTATAAGTTCAGTCACAATGGCTTTCAAGTTTCATGATAAACAATATAATGATAATGAACAATGAATAGTTTCGATGTGACACGAAATAATGACAATAATAATAAGGCGAAAGTCTTCAAGTTCGAAGATTAAGAAAGAATCGCAGGATTTCGATGGCTATGGACTGAGATGTGACCTACATATTTTGGTACATCTAATGCATGGTCTGCTCGAGCAATCAAGTTCGCTTTTGTCCATCTTTGCCTGTCTTCGGCGGTAGCTTTACTTTTGGTCTATAATAAGTGTTCCTCAACCATTGTAATATCTTCAGATGTCTCTTTCAGAGAGTGCAAGCTGATACTATTACTGGTGTCCAGAAGACTTTCAGGGATGAGGTGACATCTTGGTTAAGCAGAAACAGTAAAAATAAATGTCTTTGGCATACGATCCTTCCCAACATGGGATAGGTCTCCTTCCAAGCGCGATTGTATAACTGTAAGACGGGCTTCCAAAAGCACCTGGGTTCCACCATGAGCATAAGATGACAAGTCTACGCTACAAATAAAGTTGTTCTCCTGAATGCCGGTGTGGAAGTATTGATCTTAATAAAAACATTTTTCGGCTGGCACTCCAAGAGACCTATCTGCATATTTGTTTTTCAAAGACTGGCTAACAGCCACAGGAATACCATCCATTGGGACTCATGTACCGTTGTTGATTCCTACAGATGGTAGAAAGTAGAATATATTACATCCACATGGAGGGCAAGCTTTCAATAAAGGTGCTGGCTATACGATGGACAGTGCTCCTAATAAAAGAAATCTACTTCTTTTTAGAACCATAGTTAATCTTATTGTATTGTTATAAACCTGGTGGTGGCACAAAGAGGGGTAGTGGTGTGTGTGTAGTCAGCCGACACAAATCGCCCCAGGCCAGCGCAAGACGAGCGGTCAATCGTGACGAGTTACAACTGTCAGCCGAGTCGAGTGTCAACAGGGCGGTTCGGGAAGGATCGACGTCGTGAACAAAGCTCAATAGCGTCACGAGAGTTGTAGTCATCTGACCACGTAGAAACGTCGAGCGGCGTTCTGTCCGGTTCGAGAAGGCCAGTAGGGACCCTATATAAGAGCAGAGGTGTCGCAGTCAGGTCGGTGGAGAAAAGGGGCTCAATACAGCAAGGTTCAGAGCCCGGTTCACTACAGTCCGGTCGATTACAACACAGTTCAGCAGTGTGGTTCTGTACGGAGCATTACGACGGTTCAGTGCGGAATACTGTCAAGTACAGTTGAGACGACTGGCGTCTTGATCTTGGTCTGCGATCGAGTCCGACACAACGAGCCTAGTGTGTGAAGTCAGTCCTGAACTGTTGAACCCAGTGCAAGCCCGGAACGAGACGGAGAGGCCAGTGCAAGAGTTGATACGGCGGAACGGTGTTATCGGAGAGATATTTGTACAGTGAACGTGTTGCCAATTGTACAGTATTGGCTGTTATTTATTCAACCATTAAAGTGTTACGTTACTTTGGAGCCCGGAGTTGTCAAGTTCTTTAAGTTGGTGGTGTATGTTGCAGTTTGCAGAGAGCCTGGATAATGAGATCCGTAACAGTATTATCTTTGTCATCATAGTAGTGTCTCTGGATTGGTCTCTTCAGCAATTATAGGATCTGCAGTTGTAGAAGGATATATCCAAATACTTAATGGTTTAACTGATAATACTTCTAACAATGTTTTAAAGTAAGTAGTTTATCGAATGTTCCTGATATTTCTGGGACCATGTTGTATGGTTGTTATAATAATTTTATGGCGTTTTCCTGTTCCCCAATTGTTGATCATCTTGAACTATAATATGATTTGCCACTCTTCTTGAGCGAAAATTAGAAAGTGTAAGTCTTTAAAAACGTTTCTGAATTATTTCCAATTTTTAAAGATCCTTAGGAGTTTGATACATTCTTTTCTGAAGTTAATATCGCAGAGATTATAAATTATTGGGTTGGCAGCACAGTTTAAAAAATAAGATCGGAGAAATAAATTGTACAGACTCTCCCCAAAGTTGGACATTGATTCGTACGAGTCCGGGGCCAAGTTCTTGAAGAACGCCAGCGCCAAGTACGGCAGGAAGCCTAGGACGTAGATTAAGCTGATGATGATAAGCATAACGGTGGTCCTGCTGACCCCTCGCGCTCTCTGTGTCTCTTTCACGCTAGGTCGCCGATTGTCTGGAATCGTAATCTCGCTGACTTTGCGACTTGTTGGCGAGACCTCTGCAGAGATGGCAGAGCTCGTTGAATCATCCTGCGTTGGTTCGAAATGTTCTGCTTTCATATCTCCATCCTTCACACACAATTTATCACCGTCGTGCACGTCCTCGAGGATTGCAACTTTCTGGATGTCGTTTTTGGCAGCTTCACGATCTTTCGCCGATTTCCTCGCACGCACCAAGGTATCATTCACAACGTCCTTGAACTTACGGCTCTTCCGCTGAAAGCTGTTATCTCGCGAGATTTTCCTAAACGAGATGATGGAGTTTTTCTTTGAGAGAAGTCCGCTGCCCGAGGCGCTGTCGAAGTCTGTCTGATCACCAGAATTTTCGGTTGTTGGCTTGCAGTATGTTAAGTCTATCCACTGCATGGCCTTGGCAAAGTCACTTCTCGCTTCTTGAAGGGACTTTTCTTCATCATCGACGTCTGTTTGTGATCTGTTAGGCGATTCCGTTGTATTATTGGTGGACATTGGTTGATCTTTTTCGCAGCTAAGCTCTCTTTGGCAGATGGGCTCCACAAAACTCTCCACGACCTCATTAAAAGTAACGCTAGTCTTATGATGGCATCTTTTCTCCTGCTCGTCTGGTGGAGCTGATTTCAGCTTGACAGTCAGTTCTCTAAACATTGAAGCAATCACGTTACCGCTTTCATTGGATGATCGAACGTCCCCGCTTTCAATAACACACCGACTCTTACTAACTTTGTTACTATTACTTCTATCTTCCAATTTAGCATGATTATTGCTTTTCGGAGTTCCCGATTCAGGATTGGATTGTTTTTTCACGACGTTTTCGGGATTCCCAGAATCCTTCCGGACAAAAGACCTTGACCTGCTGCCGACGACAGGAAGGCTCCCTCTGGATTCTTTTGTCAATTTTGAGGACACCTCACTGCTGGACTCTTTATCAGACGAGTTGTCAGCCTTGGCCTTACCGGTGCCGTGCATGTGCCTATGTTTCCAGGCCTGAATCCCGATGAGAATGTAAAGGACGATGAGTGGCGTGCTGCAGACGATGAACAAGAAAATGAAGAAGGCGGCGTTCATCAGCGGCCATTTTGTGTCCCTATATGCGTCATCTATCGTGCATTCGTAACCATGGATACCAGGCGTCGGCGTCGGCTTGGTCTGGCGGCCATTAATAACGGCGTATGGTATAGAAAATAGCAGTGAGGCCAGAGCTAATGAAACGCTAAGAATTTTAGCGTGTGTGACATTAATCTGCCATTTGAAAGGCCTGCAAATTTTCCTGTACCTAAAATAGAAAACAAATAATAAACATTAGACTATTTTACTGACATTGCCAACATATTACATTATACTATTACTAAAACGAAACACTGTTTACCAAACACTATATACCAAGCAGTAAAAACCAAATATATACCAAATATTATATACCAAGCACTATGTACTAAACGTTATATACCTAACACTACATATATAACAAAAGGTATATACAATAAAGCGTTCACTTTATAATAAACAGTAAGACTAAGACTAAGACTGCTTTATTGATCCTTACGGAAATTTGTTGTGATTACAAGGACTCTTTTCTCATATAAAGACAACACAACAGAAAAATACACTTAAATACAACAGACAACATAAAGAGTTCATTCAGCGATTACACACAGGTATCTTGGAGCATTTCATGTTCCCTGATCAATGAGTGGCGGTGATAGATTCTGACCGAATGAAGTACGAACGAGTTTTTGTACAGCTCCGTTCTTGTTTTGATTGACAGCAGTCGCCCACTTCGCGACGACCTGACGTAGTTCTTGGTGGAGCGGGTGGCCGTTGTCTTCCATGATTTTTTCGATTTTTCTTAGGCACTTTTGTTCAAAAAGTTTCTTTTAAATGTGGTAATGTTGTGAGTGTAATTTTTTATGCTTTTTTAATGATGTTTTCTAGACGTCGCAACAGTTTAGATGAGGCGTTGCCTTGCCAACAAGTTATTCCGTATGTTAGCAGATTTTGTATAGTCGCGCCGTAGAAAGTCTCAAGGATCTTCTTGTTTAGTTTAAAGCTATTGAGTTTGTATATAACAAACAGATTTACAATATATATATATATTAAAAAGAACCACTCAATTTATAAGCCGAGCATGTAACTATTTGTCAGCCAGTGCTACACGAGAAAGTGTAGGACAATAACGCTTTTCAAAACATAATTCTTCGTCTATAATTTTTCCTGTTTTGTGATTTTTAAAATTTTGCAATCAAACTTTAATTTCATCCAGACATACACACAAACATTTATTCCACCTCAGTCCCTTTCTTCTTTATTAAACATGTTATAAGTTATTTAAATTGACAATCTACAATATTAGACATTAAAATAATTAGTTTGAGAATGCCAAAATTGGTAGCACTCTACAGAAGAGATCAAGAATAAGTTTTAAAAATTCCATAATTGGCAATATTCTACAGACTAGATCAAGAATAAGTTTTAAACATGCGTAATTGGCAACATTCTACATAAAGATTTAAAGAATAAACTGGCTAAATTCCCCTTATTGGAAACACTCTACTTCAGAGATTAAAAAGTTTACAAATTCCCCTTATTGGCAACACTCTACTTCAGAGATGAAAAGGCTTATACATTGCCATGTATAGCTACAGTTTTGAAGAAGTAAACTAAAAGAGATATCCTACCTTGTCACAGCTACTGCAACGAGCACCATAGCTGCCACCATTGTGGTGAAGGCGTTGAAGAAGAGGCGTATCTTGCAGACGTGGGGCTTGTCAAAGTCCCAGAGGTGGAACATATCGTAAATTTCACCTAGACGCCAATATATATCGAATATCAGTTAGACATATCATAAAGTTAAGTGTCTAAATGATCTTGTTTGATTGAAAACTACTATCCCGAGCAAATAAACAAACTTTGAAATGAAGTCATAGTGCTGTTGATTGCTTCAATGTAGCAAGAGAAATGTAAACACGAAGTTTATTTTTACATTTTATTTTACATTGGTTTCTCGTAGCTTCGAGTTTCTACAGTTCTACATAGGAAAGTAAATATGCATATCTATATAATTGTCTTTCTCTCTCTCTCTCTCTCTCTCACTATCTATCTATCTATCTATCTATCTATCTATCTATCTATCTATCTATCTATCTATCTATCTATCTATCTTTCTGTCTGTCTGTCTGTCTGTCTATCTATCTTTCTGTCTGTCTGTCTATCTATCTATCTATCTCTTCTATCGATCTATCTATCTATCTATCTATCTATCTATCTATCTATCTATCTATCTATCTATCTATCTATCTATCTATCTATCTATCTGTCTGTCTGTCTGTCTATCTATCTATCTATCTATCTATAAATCTATATCTATCTATCTATCTATCTATATATATAAATAATTTATCTAGATATATATATATATAAATATATATATATATATATACATTTCTCTCTCTTTCCTATATATATATATAGAGAGAGAGACAGAAATAAAAGAAAGAGATAGAGAGAGAGAGGTTGGGGAAGGTTAATATTATATCTTTGGTTATACTAGACTAATAAGATCTAGATTGCATTACAAACTATTAACCCTCAGCATACGACACAGTATCAACTCACTAAAAGTGA